CAGTTGATAAAACGGTTGAACCTAACTCTATATATTAAGATTCTGGCAGACAGATAGTATCATTCTTTCTCACACAATAGGTTTGGCTTACTGCCTAATCTACATTAACCGCATATGGTTGATAAAAATGTTAGTAAATTCACTTAACAACTTGATCACTCATATATGTTAGAATTTACCTTATTGAATCGATTAATTGGAATTTCTGAAACTGAGTATAGGAATCTGAAATACCATATTATAGTAGACTCAAAATGCAGACGACCAGATTGCTACTCAGTGGCCCAGTGGTGATGTACTGTCCACAGAACGTGAGGGCCCTAGGTTCGGTCCTTGCGGGGGGGGGGGTGAGGTAGGATGGGTACTACTGAGGATTCCAAGACTAAGACAAAAAAGATTTCTAATACCTCCAGTTTTCAGTAGTTCCCCAACTACATTCACCTCTTGATGAGTACGTCTGAAATTTGTAAAACAAAAATCAGTCCAGTTTCGTGTAGGATATACTTGGAATTTTATGCGCTCCTATTATTTTGTTTCCCAAAGAGACTATCTGAGATAATCGGGGTTCAGCAGACTGTTACTATCGACACGAGGTAATGATTGAAGGTATATTCAAAACATGGATCGCAGGGGGTTCGAAACGGTGGTCTTGAGCTTCCCTCTCCCATACTCTACTAGGTGCAAAGTAATGCCAGTCTTCGAAACGATGATGTCATCTTAAAAATTCACATTGGTGATAAATATCATGATCTGTTCTTCAACTCAGGTGGATTTGGATTGGGAGGAGACTTGAGTGGGCAGTCAGTGTGCTAGTGATTAACGGATAATTACGTGTTGGGGATTCGCAAAGTGTTCTGACAAAAATTATTGCATGTCGAAGTGAAATTAAGGCCTGGTAAACACATGAATCTAGTAGCTCAGTTGGCAGAACCTCAGGCTGACAACCGAAAGGCCGCTAGTTGTTAGAATCCTGTCGCAACTCAGGCTTTCATCTCACTTTCAACCATTGCCTTATTTCAATTATGCTTGTGTTTGAAACAGCTGAATCATTTCGTATCAGCCTTTATTTAATATAAGTGACATGGGTATTTTGTGTGAGTGGGCGTTAACATATGACAAGTTGTCTACTTTTTCTAAATCATGCTGGTTATTTGCTATGGGCTGAAATTTTTGCGCATGTAAGTACACAGAATGTCTGTAACCTTAAAATCCACGGCCTATTGATTACACTCTCAACTAACAGAATACGCATATAGTAATGATTGATAATGGTTAGTACTGGAATCCAGGATGAGCAAGCAATAGCACTAAGAATACGCATCTGCTTACACACACACACACACACACACACACACACACACACACACACACACAGTAACGCAATAATTAATTTTGGGAGAGTGGTTACCATGATTTTAGGTCAATTCCAGTGTGCTAATGAATTAATTCCTGTAGACGATATTATCACTTAATAATCAACCATAAAATGTGGTGTTAATATAAGGTGGGCATGTTTCGTTCTAGATTTCACCTCTTCAGTATTAAATACCAATATCATTTTTCATAAAAAATGTTTATTCTTTCAAATACAAGAAATATGTTTCTAGTAAAATCAACTTTAACACTTTAGGATATAACTTATGCTTTTGCTTACACTTTGAGGAATCTAAATAGATACTGTTAAGTTACTTCCAGATTTTTACAGAACTGACACTATAAAGTAGGTGTGCAATTGTTAAAATCAACTGGTTCAGAGAAAACATCCCTTGATACCTTGAAAATTGATACTTATAGCCCAGTTGAAACTGTTCACTTGAATCTTTGTAGTGACCAATCCCTGGTACTAACTGAGATTGACTGGATCACATCGGATCTGTTTATCTGGGTTCACTACTTATTATCAGTCTGTCTGTTTGTTTAATTTTCATCAAAAAAGGGAACCCATTGGCTCATCTCTCGGTTGTCAAAGAGTTGACTTCACCAGCACTATGAACTAATGTAAATAGTAGGGAAATCAGGGGGTTATGAAGGCAGTTATGTTGCTATTAAATCAATTCATGAAGATTATCTAAAATGTTAACTGCGTGGGTCTTGGATACTGCGATCATTTTATTACGTGATATGTAACTTTAACCAATTTGAATATTTATATGCTACTCAGGTCAGTTAACACTGCTCACCAATCATATCAGCGTCGTCATAAAATCTGCCCGCTGGGTTTCAGCCATATAAGCCTGGACCCATCAATCGTGTAGCCGGTTGATACAGTTCAGAAAGCATTGCAGTATTGATAATAGCGACTATGGTAATAGTAGCAGTAGTAGTAGTAGTATGAGTGGTAGTGGTAGCATGCTGGACAGATTCTATACTTGCGTTCTTTATGCCACTTCTGAAGTAATGGATATCTTTCTTCACTGTTTGAAGATTCTGGAATCTCAAAGGGTTTATTCTGAAATTTTCCACCTAAGTCCTATGTAGTCCTCTTGGTATGGCAGTATATCAACATCCAAGGTGTCGGAAAATAATTAGACTGATTTATAACCATTCCTTATAAACGTTTAAGCCGCAGACATCTGCCATCCTACAGTCAAAAGTCATCAGGTCCTAACATGACTCACCACTGTTGCTTAAAGGTGCTCACAACGGTAGACCAAAACAGGAGATGCTAAGACGAATGGAAAATAATATCGATGTACTATAAATAAATTTTTAGGGACCATTAAGATAAGAAATGGTAAGAGATACGGAATATTAAATGGCAGACAAAGGTCAGTTTGATCGATTTCAAACTATCTCATCCAGGGTATTCACCTGTCGATTTCAGTCATCTCATGGGACCCATTGACCATACCTACATTTCCACGCATGGCTCAGACCAATAACATAGTTCTTGCTTTTCAAATGTGTCATCTTTTTAGTACATGTGATCAGTGGTCAGCTAAGACATCTGAAACTTAGACTTCCACGCGCACATCATAGTTTTGAGTTTAGATCCCTCGCAATCCTAGCTATGACACGTAGCTCAATCGACGATAAAACTAAGAAAGATAAAAATAAACATCAAAGAATGATCCTAAACTAATTAAACAGTTCCATGTTAGATATTTTATTTGATGTAACACGGTGATACAGTAAGTACTATTTACTTGATGATGTTCCAAGTATAAATTAGCATTTCTCTTGATTATATCGACAGCTGCCTACGCTCGTTACTGAAGATCAGATAGCTAGAAAGAATAAGCAACAAAGAACTCTGGGAAAGAACCAAACAAGAACCCATCGCTCAACACATATGCAGAAGAAAGTGGAGATGGATTGGGCATACACTGAGAAGGCCGACTGGGGACATCACGTGCCAGGCCGCGGAGTGGAACTCCGATGGGAAGCGACGAGTTGTGCGTCCAAGGTGAGGGTGACATGGAGGAGATCGTGCGAGGAGGAAATGAGAGCTTGTGGGCAGTCGTGGAGCCAGGTTTAAGAGATTTCAGAGAGCAGAGTTCACTGGAGACGTGGTATTGAAGCCCTATGTTTCATTAGGAACCCAAGGGATAAATAATAATAATAATAATATATCAGTGTAATCACACTACTTTCGATGCCTGATTTTTATAGTCTTGTCGCCGCTTATTCTTTGTTCTCATCGGTAGTAAAGTTTTCCATATCTTGGTATAGATGTTGCTTCATTCCTGATACATGTGTTGGTTGAGTGTAGATTCGATGAACAGGGAGAGATTCAGTAATCAATCTCTTCCTCTCTTGACTTCATTATATTACAGTGGTTTTATCCCAACCATCGTATTATGTGGCTTTGTTTTGATGAAAAATACATAAGAAACAAAGTCATAACAGTAATATGTATAAGAGTAATAACGACACTATGCATAAAATAGGAGTTCAAGACTTCTATTGTGTTCACATATGAGGAAAGAACATCAGAAACTTTATTTGGAGTTTTCATCAAACCTGTAATTTAGATGGTTTTTAAACGTGTATACTCACTGAAAGGTAAAATTTTTCAGTTTATGGATTCGACTGACTCAACTGAACAGAATAAACTGATGTACTAAATTTCATGAGATGACTTTGGGGAATCTGGCCAAATATACAATGATAGAATCGAATAAAACCAGTTATCTAGAAAAACACATTTGGCTGTTACAATGTTGGATTAACACACAACATTACACAATAGGGTGGGTGGGATAAAACCACTCTACTGAAGACCAATATAATTAGGAGAGAAAGAGAGATTGCTTACTGAATCTCTCTCTCTTCATCGAATCTACACTCAACCAACATATGTAATAGGAATGACGCAATACCTGTACTAGAGATATGGAAAATTTTACTACCACTGGAAACAAATAATATGAGGTGACAAGACTATAATAATCAGATGGTGAAAGTTGTACGATCATTTTGGTTCGATTATGAGATATAATTTGTGCTATAAACGTCATCCAATGAACAGTAATGTGTCACTATGACCAATATCAAACAACCAAGTCACATTCTCACATGGTGCCCAAGTCTTACACTTGTATTTACAATCAAGCAATCATATCTCAAAATAGGTAGTGCAATTCGATCCAGTAAAATAATGCAGAACTTCAAGAATATCATTAAAAGGTAACGACTAATAGCAGTTGTAAAATGGTGGCTATCGTGCCACATTTGCCTAGTGGATGACGCTTTGGCGTTTGAAGCACTTGGTACGAGATCCGAGCAGGAGCAACATCATTCACTGCGGTGCAGGTACATCCAGCTGGTGAGTCCCAAGTGGGGTGAAACGAGCGTCCTGGTTTCCTCTGCTAGCCACAACCAAGTAAATTATCATAATTATATTCAGGCGATATTGAGGCATCTGTATAGCAGCTCATATGTCAATGGAGTTCGAAGAAATAGATCCAGTAAAACAACGAAGAATAACAAGCATATCAATAAACAGTAAGAAACAATCATATAATTGTCTAAATACACAATGGAAAAATAATACTTACTTACATAGGTTGAACGCTTGAATTCAGCGGCTGCACATGAGATGTCAGTTATTCATAACTTTATTTAAACTATTTTAATGGTAATAAATTTGCAACGGATTCATCTTGTTTTCACACTCCTTGGAATCTACGTATTCATTTTTTACTGATATATATTATTCAAGTTTCAAACATGAAAATTATTTTCTTTTTGAATAACACTGGAAGTTTTATGATTATTTCCGCTATAATTATCAAAATCATCCATTATGATATAATCAACAATAGATTAAATGTAGAGATTAAAAATAATAGTTTTAAGCGATTCGATTGGTTGATTTAGGGCAGCCAATCAAATTGCAGATAAATTCAGTTTATTTTTGTCGAATAGCTGTACATAAGGCTGTAGGCTACATTGTACGCACACAAGATATACACAGACACATTCATGTTCACATTTGCTAACGTAAGGAAGGCTGTTGTTTGCGTGTTATTTAATTAAATGTATTGCGAAAAATATATATTCCTTATTATTATTATTATTCATTTGGTGACGTGATTTTGATGATAGGGAGTATCATTTCCAGATTTCATTGTTATTTGAATTAGAAAATGTTGTGGTTCCTGTCAAGTAGTTGTAGCCGGTTTGAGTTTCGAATCTGAATGAACACAAAACAGTTTTTCAAATGGGAGGTTTGTGGAGATTTATTGTTTTTATATAATGATCATCCCATTTTAGATATACCGGTCTATACGAATCAACTAGGAAGATTGAGAGTGATCTGAAAAATTGAGCTGTGTAAGATAAATTATTTTTGGAGACATTGCTAATGAGTTCGGCTCCAAAAGATGGAAACTGGCGTTCTGTGTTGAGATCATAGTGATCTGGCTAGCGATATCTAAAGATCACCTTCAGTCGTTTTTATTCACTCATGTTGTTCGCTAGTACATTTCGGTATGTCTATCTTCAAAATAAAGTTTGTATTGAATAGGCGGTAGTTTGTGTTGTTGACAAAATTTTGGTTGAAAAACTGAGAAAATCATACGGATTACTTACATTGTATTATAATTTTGTCAGCGATGCTCATCAAAGAGTAAATTTTAATCTCATGAGGTATCAACTGAACCAATAATGTAACAATGGTGTATAACCTTGAATCAACACTACATACTGAAAGTTCAGGCCTTATAACATTGTTGATGTTTGGTAGCTAGAGATATTCAACAGGAGACGCTTGACCGGCGTTGTGTGCTCGCTGTCACTCATCAGGAAGACATATTCACGGTCATAGATGTCCCATACTGAGCTATTGGACTGTATTTGAGCTTCTGTGATGAATGACTATTTGTTCTGATTGTTTTCGATCCTTTCGTTCCCTGCTGGTTAGTTTGGGCTGGAAGAGGGAGATAGTTACTGTGATTGGTCAGTGAAGGGAAACCAGTCCCATGTTGTCTAGTCTTGAGTCCAAAGCAAACTCAACCGATCATTTTGCAATGTGACCACCAAGCTAGGAGGCTAAGCATCCTGTAATAAAGTATATTAATCACCCTTGATAATAAGACTGAATTATCAAGGGAGGTATAATGTAACAACAGATAACTTTTGAAGAAGGAAAAAAAAGGTTGAAAGAGGCATACAAACTAACCTTGGGAATAATTTCAGTGATATGTTTATCTATAGATGAAATTGTACATCTACTGGCTCTGAAATAATAGTCGTATCGTTTATTATATCGACTACTGTTGAAAAGCAGTAAGTTTATGCGTGACTAGATTGTTCGAAATGTATTGCACTAAATATATCCCATGCTTCAGATGAACTACAGCTTCTTATGCTTTTGTAGATAGTTTTAATTGATTTTATCAGCTGACCAGTTTCTATTGTATCTACGATAACCGACAGCGGTATCCATAATTCGAAATGTCAAAGTATTATCCATAATTCTGTTGAACGAAAATAACCACACTGTCGTCAATGAGTTAGACTTCCCCTTATCAGTTTATTAAATCGATATTATTGGATAGTAAGTAGCTATATAATTAGGGAGACTAGAGTTTCAACTTATTTATACTTGATATTCTTGTAGTTTAGTGCGTGTCGGCTCTTTTATTTTATACGTGCCTAAAGCAATATACATGGAAATGACCTATTTGAAGGAAACAGCTTTAGCCAGAAAGTGATGGTATTGTCGAGTAAATTATCAGAAAATGCACGCCAATGAATTTAATTCATTGAGATTAACAGTGCGAGATCAAAAAGATTAGGTGGCTACTCAAACTACTAATACTACTACTACTCACACTACTCATACTACTACTGCTCACACTAGTCACAACACCCTTACTATAATTATTATTACTGCTACTACTACTACTACTACTACTACTACTACTACTACTACTACTACTACTACTACCACTACTACTACTACCACTACTACTACTACTACTACTACTACTACTACTACTACTACTACTACTACTACTACTACTACTACTACTACTACTACTACTACCATCACCACCACTATCTCTACTACTTTTGCTACTTACACTGCTTCTATTACTTATACTATTGCCCAGATCACTATGAATAATGGTAATATCAAGAAACTAACTCAGAGTTTTCTTGATAGAGGGCTGTTTCATTTCGATGTATATAAAAATGGAATTCACATCAAACTAGAGTTGTTCCACTCTTGGCAACCCTAAACAATTTTTCGTACGAGTAGTGTTTTTTTGGGGAATAAAATGTTTGTTTTTCATATAATTTACAAGTTTTGGTTGCATTTAACTAATTTAATAAACAATTCATGAGAGGAAATACACACAGATAGTTTGAAACTATTTTTGTTTTGGGTTGAAAAAACAACGACATAATTTCATCGAGATAGGACATCACGCACCAGGCCTTCGAGTGGAACCTGCATGGGAAACGACGAGTTGGGCGTCTGATGGTGACATGGAGGAGATCGTGTTAGGAAGAAATGAAAGCTTGTGGACAGTGTTGCAGCCAGGTTCAAAGAGTGCAGAGAACAGAGTTCACTGGAGACGTGGTACTGCAGCCCTACGTTCCACTAGGAACCTAAGGGATGAAAATAAACAATAATAATTCATCAGTAACTGGCATCAGTTGGAGAATCATTGAAAACTTGGGAATACTGGACAGCTGTTTGGTCCTAGACATTGGCTCTTTAGAAGTGTGCACCCACAATCCCACCACTCACCCAGGACATTCATTTTCCGTAGCCGGCGAATCACTATTGGACCTTTGGATTACAACCAAGTAGACTCTATGGTAGTTTGCTAACCACAGGAGCCGAAGGCCCTGGGTTCAATCCCTGGTAGGGTCACAGATATGCGCTGCTGAGGAATCTAGTACTAGGACAAAATACCTGCCCAGTGTTCGTGGCTTTTCAGTGGCTTTCAAAATGATATCATTCCACGATGAATACCAACTTGAAATCAATAAAATCAATCTCCAAGAACTTCCATATTGAACAACATAATTCTTGCAAGATTGGATGACATGACATTCCTGATTTTCGCAGTATTTTTTGACAAAGAACAATGAGTTAACTAAACTGTGAATGGAATAGTCACAGATGACTTACTGAGATCTTTGAGATATGTACTTGTCTGTTGTTTCTATAACGCATGAAGTAAATATTCTAGATCTACTAATGAATATGAAAGATTTCTAACTGGTCATGTTGTCCGCTAGAATGAGCTTAATTGGTCCATGATAGATATTTTTTGCCTGATCACAACATTTGAAACCACAGTTTCGTAGCTACAAAGACTCCTCAGCTGTGAAACATATTATTCTGAGTCATAAAACTGCCAACTGCCAACTGATTATCCATTTTAACTCATTATAGTATACGACGAGGAATACTAACAGTGGCAGATTATTCCTTTTCAATTATTTTTCCTTAGGGTTATCCAAAAAAAGACACGAACAGTACACAAGAAATCAAATTAGCTTAAAATGTAGGATGTGCCTACAATGTAGTTGGTAGTCAATGTTCCTTCTGTTCAACTTCAAACATACTGTGGTCTTCAAACTACAATAAAAACTGCTGAAATTCATCAGCATACTTCTCTTCATTTCCAGTATGGTAATTGTATTGTATTCAGTTGTTTTGTTTATTATACTATTTTGAAACTGTTCACGTGAGGCGCCTTTATGAATTGTCCTAGTGAACAGAACATCTAGATCAAAACTAACAGTCTTTTTGGCACCAGTATTAGCATATAAAAGGAATATATGTAGGGAAATTTCACCTTTGACCTATGGTTGTGCTGATTTCACTTACTTCCCGTACTACAAAGTAGCTGGATTCGATTCGATTCTCTATTGAATGGTATAGCAATCACAACTAAATCAATCCGAGTACATTGTTAATAACACCGTCTACAGTTTGATCGTTTAGGTCATCTAAATTTTTTACACGAAAAACAATATTGACTAAGGTGAATGAATGTTAACTATTCATAATAACTAGTAGTATATGTCGTTCACGATTAATTTATTCGACTTTCACTTTCTTGTATTTCTGTTGATATCATCTTCTTGTCTTGGCATATTGTGATTACAGCGTTAGTCTAAAAGTGGAGAATATGTTGAATATGCACTGCTGAATTACTTGACTTTTGTTTTTCTCATCTAACGATGATAAATCCCATTTAAATTGATACATGCTACCTTTTCTCTATATGTGTGGGTATACAATTCGGGAAAGTTGACTGACAGTGAACGAAAGACAAAACTAGACGATCCTCTTTCATGAAAACACAACCTTATAAATTATTTAAAAATTAGGAATTCTAAGCATCATTCATGCATTAATAATTAGATTGAAATGTGTCATGAGGCATAAATTACAGGAAGGAAAACTAGAAGTTTAATTGCATTTTATCAGTGAAATATTTCTGAAGGTCTTGTGAGTTTTTAATAAGATAACGTGATCTGGTGTACACATGATTACAAGCTAGTTGAATGAAGTTAGGGATCACATATTGTAATGTGATTTAAGATACAGAAGTCCATAACCGATAATCCAAGTCTTTCTGAAAGGTGTATGTTTCTTCAGTTGCTACTCATAAGGCGTTCACGGTAGATGGTTTGGCATTCGCCAAATTCTGTCATCTGTGTCGCTGACTGCCAAGATATCCGACTACCTATCAAACGACGAAAGCACCGCACTACAGTACACTGTGTCCTGTAATACAGCCGTGAGTGAAACATGACCGCTAAAGGCAAAAGAC